GGCCGCGGCGCCTCGTCTCGCTCCTGGCGCGGCTGCGCTGCGGGGCCCCCCCGGCCGCCCCGAGAGTCGCGGGCGTTCTAGCCCCGCCCTCACTCGGGGCCCGCTCTGGCGTGCCTCCCCGAGCCCCTCCTAGCCAAAGGGCGGCGGGGCCCCCGCGCTGCCGCCCTCCGCCTCCTCGGCCTCCGCGGCCTCCGTCGCGGGCCCAGCCGCTGCCGCCGGCCCGCCGCCGCCAGCCGCTGCCGGCCGCCGTCGCCCCCTGCCGCGCCGGCGTCCGCGCGGGCCCCGCCGTGCTGCTCCTGGTCGCCGTGGTGGTGGTGGTGGTGGTGCTGCTGCTGGTCGCCGTGCTGGTGGGTGTGGCGCTGCTGGTCGTAGTCGCAGTGGTTGTGGTGGTGGTTCTGCTGCTGCTGCTGCTGCTGCTGCTGCTGCTGCTGCTGCTTGTTGTCGCTGTTGTGGTAGTGGTTGTCGTGGTGCTGCTGGTCGCTGTGCTGCCCCTGGTCGCCGTCGTGGTGGTGGTGGTAGTGGTATCCGTGCTGGTGGTGGTGGCGCTGCCGGTTGTAGTCGTAGTGGTGGTGGTGGTGGTGGTGGTTCTGCTGCTGTTGCTGCTGCTGCTGCTTCTGATGCGGGTGCTGCTGCTTGTTGTCGCCGTAGTGGTAGTGGTTGTCGTGGTTCTGCTGGTCGCCGTGCTGCCCCTGGTCGCCGTCATGGTGGTGGTGGTGGTGGCTCTGGTCGCCGTGCTGGTGGTGGTAGCGTTGCTGGTCGTAGTCGTAGTGGTTGTGGTGGTGGTGGTGGTGGTGCTGCTGCTGCTGCTTGTTGTTGGCGCTGTAGTTGTAATGGTTGTCGTGGTGCTGCTGGTCGCCGTGCTGCCCCTGGTCGCCGTCGTGGTGGTGGTGGTGCTGGTCGCCGTGCTGGTGGTGGGGGCGCTGCTGATCGTAGTCGTAGTGGTTGTGGTGGTGGTGGCGGTGCTGCTTCTGCTGTTGCTGCTGCTGCTGCTGCTTGCTGTTGTCGCTGTAGTTGTAGTGGTTGTCGTGGTGCTGCTGGTTGTAGTGGTCGCCGTAGTGGTGGTGGTGGTGGTGGTGGTGCTGCTGCTGGTCGCCGAGCTGGTGAGTGTGGCGCTGCTGGTCGTAGTCGTGGTAGTTGTGGTGGTGGTGGTGGTGGTGGTGGTGGTGGTGGTGCTGCTGCTGCTGCTGCTGCTGCTGCTGCTGTTTGTTGTCGCAGTTGTGGTAGTAATTGTCGTGGTTCTGCTGGTCGCCGTGCTGCTCCTGGTCGCCGTCGTGGTGGTGGTGCTGGTCGCCGTGCTGGTGGTGGTGGCGCTGCTGGTCGTAGTCGTAGTGGTTGTGGTGGTTGTGGTGGTGGTGGTGGTGGTGGTGCTGCTGCTGCTGCTGCTGCTGCTTGTTGTCGCTGCGCTGCTGGTCGTAGTCGTAGTGGTTGCGGTGGTGGTTCTGCTGTTGCCGCTGCTGCTGCTTGTTGTCGCAGTTGTGGTAGTAATTGTCGTGGTTCTGCTGGTCGCTCTGCTGCTCCTGGTCGCCATCGTGGTGGTGGTAGTGCTGGTCGCCGTGCTGGTGGTGGTGGCTCTGCTGTTTGTAGGCGTGGTGGTGGTGGTGGTGGTGGTGCGGCTGCTGCTGCTTGTCGCTGTTGTGCTGCCCCTGGTCGCCGTCTTGGTGGTGGTGGTGGTGCTGGTCGCCGTGCTGGTGGTGGTGGCGCTGCTGGTCGTAGTCGTAGTGGTGGTGGTGGTGGCTCTGCTGCTGCCGCTGCTGCTGCTTGTTGTTGCAGTTGTGGTGGTAGTTGTCGTGGTTATGCTGGTCGCCGTGCTGCCCCTGGTCGCCGTCGCGGTGGTGGTGGTGGTGCTGGTCGCCGTGCTGGTGGTGGTGGCGTTGCTGGTCGTAGTCGTGATGGTTGTGGTGGTGGTGGTGTTGCTGCTGCTGGTGGTCCTGCTTGTTGTTGTCGCTGTGGTTGTAGTGGCCGTCGTGGTGCTGCTGGTCGCCGTGCTGCCCCTGGTCGGCGTCGTGGTGGTGGTGGCGCTGGTCGCCGTGCTGGTGGTGGGGGCGTTGCTGGTCGTAGTCGCAGTGGTTGTGGTGGTGGTGGTGGTGGTGGTGGTGCTGCTGCTGCTGCTGCTGCTGCTGCTTGTTGTTGTCGCTGTAGTTGCATTGGCTCAAGCAGCCGGCTCAAGAGACACTGCGAGCCAAGCGGCCGAGCCAAGCCAAGCGGCCGGCGCGCGCGAGGGGCGCGCGCGGGGCGCAGGCATGGCGCCCTCCAGGGGGCCACGGGGTCCGTGCGCCGACGCTCGGAGCATGGGGGGTGCTCCGGGCGAAGGGGGGCGCCCACCGGACCCAGGCCCGCCACCAGGCCTCTGGGCGCTGGCTGGGCGAAGGAGACGAGCGCAGGGAGGCGGGAGGCGAAGGGCGAGCCCGCCGAGACCTCGTCACCACGGCGGGCGCGGAGCGAGAAACTCGGTCAGGAGAGGGGCCCTTCCAGGCCGCGAGCTGACAAAGACAACCACGACCACGACTACGACCGACCACCCAACGACACGACTTGCCCCCGACCCCCTCCGCTTGAACCCCTTCCGCCACTTGGCTCAAGGCGAGCACGGCCTCGCACCTGCCCCGCCGCCCGAAGACACAGACAGCCGACCCCGACTCGCAGACCCACCGGTCGATTTTCAGACGTTCAGACTCCGCAGCGCTGGGTATTCGCCTTCGCCCACTCGTTGCGCCACGAGGAACCGCCGTCGTTCCAGACGCCGCACCGAGAAGAGGGAGAGAGCGAACAGAGAGGCACCCGCCTACCACGAACATGCCGAGACCATGCGGCAGCAGGAATCTTTCTCCAGGCGACAGACCTACCTCGAGGACCGGTTCTACCTGAGGCGGCACGCGACGCGGGGCAGCGTAAAAATCGAAGAGCGAACCACCACGCAGCCCGACTACCAAGCTCACAACACCACCGACCACGACTCATCCACACCAAGCACGCGAGACTGCATCCAAAAGCTCCTGCGCGCGCCCCTCGGACCCAACACGAGACCGGACTGCGCAAACGAGGGCGCGACGGCCGTCATGATGCAGGCCGGGGTGGGGGCGCTGGAGACAGACAGCCCGACCCTGCAGCCGAGCGCACGCCAACGCGCCCGCCAGCGGAAGAGGAACGCTGCCGAGCCAATGCCAGCAAGGGGACCGCAGAGCGTTGCCAACACGAGGATGCCACTTCCGTCCAGTGGCAGCCCACGATGCTACCGCCACGTCTTGCCCGCGCCGGGCCGACAAGGGCAACGCAGAACTGCAGCTACCGCCAATGCCCTCCCGCCGCCCTTGCTCACACCGGCAGCCCCGCAGCTCCCAGAAACGGGGGCAACCGCTTCTACCTGGCGCGCCAAGGCGGCGAGGGCAAGCCCTCGCACCAGAGCCGCGCGCAAACGGGCGGCCGCAGCAGGAGAAGCAGCAGAAAGCACCTTGCACCAGCAGAGCGACCACCGCGACCACCAACACCACGCGCAGCAACACCAGCGCGACGGGGAGCACCGCAGCGGCAACAACGCCCACGACCGCGACCAGCACCACGCACAATAACACCAGCGCACAGCACAACGCAGCGACCAAGACCACCACGACGTGCACCACCACGAGCAGCAGCACCAGCACCAGCGCAACCCCTCCAAAAGCCGCCGCGACGCGCGATGGGGTTACCGAGGCGTTCGAGTGGGCGAGGCCAGCCACCCAGGACCTCCAGACGCACCCGGGGACAGCCCCCGAACACCGCGCCCGAGACACACGACGTCACCACCAGAGTCGCCAGAGCACGCACCCGGCGGCGCGGCGCCAATCCCGTCGCAGGAAGAGACCCCGCCACGGGCTCTGCTCCGGCTACAAGCCGCAGGGTTTCAGCTTGGCGCGCCAGCCGTGCCGGGCCACTTTGGCGCCGTCTTCGGGAGGGCGCCAGAAGGCGGATGGAATTTTGCGGGCTTATTCGCCCCGCGCGGCGACAGGCAGGGCGAGGCAGCAGAAGCGGCAGCAACAGCGCGGGAGGAGCCAGACCGACCACCAGCGCCGGCAGAAGACGCCAACATCTGCGTCGTCTGCCAAGAAGTGATCCCGCACCATGGGGCGGGCAGGGACACACCAACGCAGGAGGCACGCTGTGGCGCCCACTTCCACTCGGGCTGCCGCGCCGACTTGGCCCGCCACCTTGGCGAAGCCACCACTTGCCCGCAGTGCCGAGCCAGACTCCCGACCACCGCCGAGTTACGGGCATGGTGCGCCGCGCAGGGCGTGGACATAGACCGACCGCCGCCCCCGGCCCACGACGCCAGCGCCCAGGCCGCCCCAGATTACAATAGGTTTCGGAGCTACGCGCGAGGCGAAGAACCACCGCCACGGGAGCCACCGCTGCTCCGAGCGCTCTGCTGCCGACGCCTCGGCCCACCACCCGAATTTTCCGAAGTGCCAGACCGCCGCGTGGAATGGTCCCCGGAGATCGCTGCACGCGACACCAACGGGATGATCACGCAGTGACTTGAGTCATGGCTTTGCCCACGCTGCGGGGCGCGCTGCGCTGTCGACACGATCGCGCCACAGAGCGGCCAACAGATGTGCGCGAGGTGCCTAGAGCAGGGCACGTGGACCGCGGAAGCCAGCACGGCCGAAGGCGAATGGAGGTGCGCTTTGTGCGAACCAGACGCATGGACCAGAGAAGTGCCTTCTGCCCCACCACCAGCCCCGCCAAGTCCAGAGCCATCGCCGCCAGCCCTCCCACCAGGGCCAGAGCGAGCCGCCGCGAGGCCGCCACAACACAGCCCTTTCGCCGGCTGGGCCCCGCCGCAAGCGCCCCTCCAGGCACGCACCAACTCGGCAGTGCACGTGCCCCTGCTGCTAGCGGCCGCCGGGCTTTTAGACCCAAGCGAAGGGGCGCAGTGGAGTGAGCACCGCCTCACACAGGCCTGGTGGCAGCCGACGGTAGAGACATTGCGGCTTTCAGGACCTGTACTAACAGGGCCCTTCGTCTAAATGCTGGCGTACACCGACGCTCGGCCCGGGGAAGTACCAGCGGTGCTTGCCGCAGACGGAGGAGAGCGCCCAGGGCGCGTATCCTTTGCGCCAGTCGCCCAGGCCGTGGCGCACAGCAGCACCGGCTACATACAGCCGCTGGTGCAAGACCTCCTCCTCGAAGCCTTCGGCGGCGGCGTGCTTGCACGAGGAGTTGACGCACGCACAAACGAGCTGCGCAACCCAGGCTTCTGGGCAGACGCGGCGCCTCCGCCGCCGCTCCCACCGCCAGAGGCGCTCCAGGGGCCGGAGCTGCCTGGAGACCAGCACGCGAACGGCCCTGCCGCCGTGGTGGGCAGAGGCGCCCCCGGAGACAGAAGCGGAAGAGGCGCCAGAGAAAGCAGACGAGGAAGAGGCGCCAGAAGAGGCCGAGGCGGCGGAGAAGGGGGGGGGGAAGCCCGAGCAGCGGCAGCGACGGCGGAAACACGGGCGCGGAGGAGGGAGACGCCGACGACGGCGGCAGCAACTCCAGCACCGAGGAGACCGACCACGAGGCCGAACCAGCGCAGGCCCCAGCCCCGAGCAACGGACCCACCGAAGAGTCCTGGGCAGCTCTCGGGAGCATCGAGCTCCAACAAGAGCTACGGAGATTCGTGCCGACACTACAGAACGTGCCGCGTTTCCTGCGCGCGGAGACCCGGATGGCGTTCACCGCGGCCCTGAAGAGGATCAAGCGAGGACACGACCAGGGCAACCAAGCAACAACTCACCAAGGATGGACACTGTTCCTCCTCGCCTCGAGGCTCCTGCTAAGCAAGCCCAAGGGTGCCGACGCCGATGGCCGACAAGAGCTCTTGGAACGCGCCCAACGGTTCCGCCGGGGCGACTGGCTGGCCCTGCTACACGAGGCCGACACCGCGGCCGGCGCGCGCGCAGCGCCGAGGCCAGCCACAGAGGAGCAACAGCAGGAGAGACGCAGAGAACAGGCTTGCGCGCACGTCCGAAACGGCAACCCGTCACGGGGGAGACAGGTCTTGACCGCGGCGGCGATTGCGCCCGGCAGCGGGGAGACACTAAACAGGCTGCGGGACCCGGCCCGCCGACCGCCTACCCTGCGCCGCCGACTACCCGCCAACCTAGACCGCGCAACCGACAGAACGAGACTCGACAAGACCAAATTCCTCGCTTGCCTCCGGTCCGCCAAAAAGGGCGCGGCAGCAGGACCGTCGGGGGCCCGCGTTGAGCACCTCAAGCCGCTGCTGGAACACGAAGAGTCCATGGACCTGCTTGGATTCGCCGCCGCTGCCCTCGCGGAGGCGCGGGTGCCCTCCCCGATTGCCCGCGCTCTAGCCCTCTGCAAGATGACGGCGCTCCAGAAACCAGACAACGGAGTACGGGGCATCGCCGCCGGCGACGTTTTCCGCCGACTGGTCACCAGGGCGCTCGCTCAACAGTTCGCCGAGCAGCTCGCGGCCGCAACTGCGCCCTTCCAGTTCGCCCTGACGGCGCGGGCAGGAACCGACTGCGCCGCCATGCTGCTGAGGTCAGTGCTGGACCACGACGACGACGCAGTGATTGTTAGCATCGATGGAGTCGGGGCTTTCGACCATGTGTCGAGGTCGGCCTTCTTCCAGGAGCTCCTTGCTCCCCCAGAGCTGGCCGGCTTAATCCCCTTCGTGAAGATGTGGTACGGGCGAGACTCCACCCACCTCTGGCAAGACGAAATGGGGACTGTGCACGACGTGCACCAGGGAGAGGGAGTGGAGCAGGGGGACGCGCTGGCCCCAGCCCTCTTCGCTCTTGCCCTGCGCGGAGCGCTGGCGGGCGCCTCCAGGACCCTAGAGCAAGGGGACTTCCTAGTCGCTTTCCTGGACGACGTGTGCATCAAGACCACCCGGGCCAGGGCCAGAGCCGCTTTCGACACCACCACCGGAGCAATTCACCTCCACGCAAACGTGGATTGCCACCTTGGCAAGTGCCGGGCCTACAGCAGGGGCGGAGGCGCAGCGCCGCCCGGAATTGGCGAGCTGGGACGAGACGTCTGGAGGGGTGACAGAGCACCACCCGACCGAGGAATCAAGATCCTCGGCACCCCCCTAGGCACCCCAGAATTTGTCGCCGCACACCTGGAGAGCAGACTACAGGAAGAGAGGAGACTCCTGGACGAACTGGCGCACCTGCCCGACCTACAGTGCGCTTGGCTCCTCCTCCTCCTTTGCGCCTCCCCGCGGGCCAACCACCTGCTGCGAACCCTGCCGCCAGAGGAAATCGCAGAATACGCGAGAGGCCACGACGGCGACATGTGGGCCACCCTGCGCCGCCTCCTCGGGGACCCCGCAATGTCGCAAGACGAAGAGCGACGGGCGCGCGCACTGGCAGCAATGCCTGGACGACACGGAGGACTCGGGCTCCAAAGCGCCGCGCGCACGTCCCCAGCGGCCTACTGGGGCGCTCGGGCAGACGCCCTACACATGCTCCACCAACGGCGCCCCGTTGAAGCTGCAGCGATCAGGGGCCTCCTCGACGGCGCCAGGCCCGGCCGTAGGGGCAACCTTGCCGCAGCCGCCGAGGCCGCACAGCTGCTCGAAACCGAAGGCTTCCGGAGACCTTCCTGGGCCGACCTGCTCCAGGGGCTGCGCCCAGAAGCGCCGCCGCGCTCGGAGGCCGCCGAACCGGGGGAATGGCAGCGCGGCTGGCAGTTCCACGCTTGTTCCGCACGCAACACACACTACAGGGACAACGTGTTCATGCCCAGCCTCACCAGGGCCAACCAGGCCATGCTAAGGTCAGGCTCAGGACCGAGGGCCGCCTACTGGCTTCACACCTTACCCACCACCGAGGGGCACGTGTTCAAGCCCGCGCGGTTCCTTGCAGCCCTGCGCCAGCGCCTCAGGCTCCCGCTGCCGCTCCTCCCGCACACGTGCGGGGCAGCCGGCCGCCCAGGCTGCCGGGCCCGGCTGGACACGCTGGGAGACCACCTAGCCGCGTGCCCACGCACGGGGCTTCTCGCCAGACGCGCGAAACCGCTCGAACGAGCTTGGGCGAGGGTCGCCAGAGAAGCAGGAGGGAGAGTTGTCCCCCAACAGCTGCTGCGGGACACTAACGCCGTTGTCCACAACCCGCTGGACCGCAGACAATTAGACCTAGTCGTCTACGGCATCTCGCCGAACGGCGTCCCGCTGTGCTGCGACAGCACCATGGTGTCCCCCCTCCGCAGGGACGGCTGGCACCGGCCGCGCACCTTCGACACCGACGGCGCCGCGCTACTTGGGGCCGAAAGGCGCAAACGACGCAGGTACCACGAACTCACGACCGGCCATTCAGGCCGCCTCATGGTCCTCTCCTGCGAGGTCGGAGGCAGGTGGGGCCGCGATTCCCTTCAGCTGGTACGCCTGCTTGCCAAGCAGAAGGCGCGGGCCGCGCCGGCCCTCCTCCGCCGCTCCGCGGAGCTCGCGTACACCAACCGCTGGTGGGGGTTCCTGAGCGACCCTGACGGGCGACGGCGACCTAGCCTTGGGGGGAGCTGCCGGGGAGGACGACCCAGACCTGGCCGAAGTGCTGCTCGCAGACTCCGCCGGCCCACCCGCTAGCCGCCTGCCAGCACGCCCCTGATGCTTGGCGCCGCGGCCAGCACGGCCGCCCCGGGGGGCTCCGACGAGCGCCGGGAGCACCCCCGACACGGCAGCGGGCACCACGAGGAGGTCAGCAGTACCACCACCACCACCACAACGGCGACCAGCAGCACCATCGCTTCGACTGCGACCCGCAGCAGAACCACCACCAACACCACCACCACGAGAGCGACCCGCAGCACCACCACGACTACGACCAGCAGCACCACCACCACCACGACCAGCAGCACCACCAGCACCACCAGCACAAGCAGCACCACCACGACTGCGACCAGCAGCACCACCACGACTACGACCAGCACCACCACGACTGCAACCAGCAGCAGCACCACAACGACCAGCAGCACCACCATTACCAGTAGAACCACCAGCACCACCACGACGGCGACCAGCAGCCCCACGACTGCGACCAGCAGCGCCACGACTGCGACCAGCAGCGCCACGACTGCGACCAGCAGCAGCACCACCACGACTGCGACCAGCAACACCACCACCACGACAGCGACCCGCAGCACCACGACGACCACGACCACGACCAGCAGCACCACGACAGCGACCAGCAACACCACGACTGCAACCGGGAGCAGCAGCACCGAGACAGCGACCAGCAGCACCACCACGACCAGCACCACCAGCACAACCAGCACTACCACGACTGCGACCAGCAGCACCACCACCACTACGACCAGCACCGCCACGACAACGACCAGCACCACGACTGCTACCAGCAGCACGACGACTGCGACAAGCAGCAGCACCACCACGACTACGACCAGCAGCAGCCACCACCACCACGACCAGCAGCACCACCAGCACCACCAGCACAAGCAGCACCACCACGACTGCGACCAGCAGCACAACCACGACTACGACCAGCACCGCCACGACTGCAACCAGCAGCAGCACCACAACGACCAGCAGCACCACCACCACGACCAGCACCACCAGCACCACTACGACGGCGACCAGCAGCGCCACGACTGCGACCAGCAGCACCACGACTGCGACCAGCAGCACCACGACTGCGACCAGAAGCAGCACCACCACGACTGCGACCAGCAGCACCACCACCACGACAGCGACCCGCAGCACCACCACGACCACGACCAGCAGCACCACGACCACCACGACCAGCAGCACCACCAGCACCACTAGCACAAGCAGCACCACCACGACTGCGACCAGCAGCACCACCACGACTACGACCAGCACCGCCACGACTGCAACCAGCAGCAGCACCACCACGACCAGTAGCACCACCAGCACCACCACGACGGCGACCAGCAGCCCCACGACCGCGACCAGCAGCGCCACGACTGCGACCAGCAGCACCACCACCACGACAGCGACCCGCAGCACCACCACGACCACGACCAGGAGCACCACGGCTGCGACCAGCAGCACGACGCCTGCGACCAGCAGCATCACCACGACTACGACCAGCAGCACCACCACCACCACGACCAGCAGCACCACCAGCACCACTAGCACAAGCAGCACCACCACGACTGCGACCAGCAGCGCCACCGCGACTACGACCAGCACCGCTACGACTGCAACCAGCAGCAGCACCACAACGAGCAGCAGCACCACCACCACGACCAGCAGCACCACCAACACCACCACGACGGCGACCAGCAGCCCCACGACCGCGACCAACAGCGCCACGACTGCGACCAGCAGCGCCACGACTGCGACCAGCAGCAGCACCACCACGACTGCGACAAGCAGCACCACCACCACGACTGCGACCCGCAGCACCAACACGACCACGACCACGACCAGCAGCACCACGACAGCGACCAGCAGCACCACGACTGCAAGCGGGAGCAGCAGTACCGAGACTGCGACCAGCAGCACCGCCACGACCAGCATCACCAGCACAACCAGCACTACCACTACCACGACTGCGACCAGCAGCACCACCGCCACTACGACCAGCACCACCACGACTGCGACCAGCAGCAGCACCACAGAGACCAGCAGCACCACCACGACCAGCAGCACCACCAGCACCAACACGACGGCGACCAGCAGCCCCACGACTGTGACCAACAGCGCCACGACTGCGACCAGCAGCACCACGACTGCGACCAGCAGCAGCACCACCACGACAACGACCAGCAGTACCACCACTACGACCGCGACCCGCAGCACCACCACGACCACGACCAGCAGCACCACGACTGCGACCAGCAGCGCCACGACCGCAACCGGGAGCAGCAGCACCGAGACAGCGACCAGCAGCACCACCACGACGAGCACCACCAGCACAACCAGCAATACCACGACTGCGACCAGCAGCACCACCACGACTACAACCAGCACCACCACGACCGCGACGAGCAGCAACACCACGACGACCAGCAGCAGCACCACCTCGACCGCGACCAGCAGCACCACCACGACTACTACCAGCAGCACTACGACTGCTACCAGCAACACCACGACCACGACCAGCAGCAGCACCACCACGACTGCCACCAGCAGCTCCACCACCACGGCCAACAGCAGCACCAGCACCACCAGCACAACCAGCACCACCACTACTACGACTAGCACCACCACGACAAGCAGCACCACCACAACCGCGACCAGCAGCACCAACACGACTACGACCAGCAGCCCCACGACTGCGACCTGCAGCGCCACGACTCCGACCAGCCGCAGAACCACTACCAGCACCACCACCACGACTGCAACCCGCAGCACCACCACGACTGCGACCAGCAGCACCAAAACTGCGACCAGCAACACCACGACTGCGACCAGCAACAGCACCACCACGACTGCGACCAGCAGCAGCAGCACCACCACCAAGACCAGCACCACCAGCACAACCAGCACCACCACGACTGCGACCACCAACACCACCACGACTACGACTCGCAGCACCACGACTGCGACCAGCAGCAGCACTACCACGACCGCACCCAGCAGCAGCACCACCAACACGACCACGACCAGCAGCAGCACCACCACGACTGCGACCAGCACCAATTCCGACCGGCAACACGACCCCCAGCAACGACTGGCACCACCTGCAACGACCAGCAGCAACGACGCGCACCTGCACGACGGCGCGCACCGACGACGCCCACCGCCCCTTCCCCTCGCCGTTCCCTCGGCCTCTGTCCCCTCGTCTCGGTCCCGTCTCGTTCGCCCCCTGCGCTCGCGTCGTTCGCCCCTCGCCGTTCGGGCCCGGCTCGCGCCCCTCGCCCCCTCGTCCTCCGTCCCCCGCCCGCCCCGCCCCCGCCTGGAGTCCAGACCCAGCCGCGCCTGCGAGACAAGGGAGCAGTGGCAGCAGGCTATGGCGCTGCTGATTCCCAAACTGGGGCCCAACGTCATCAGTTGCATCGCTGGGGCCAGCGCACGTGCGAAAAATAAGCAGCGGCAGTGGCAGCGAGCCAGGGAGGAGAGCGAGGCGGCAGAGGAGGAAATAGAAGAGGAGGAGAAGGCAGCGGACGAGCAGGGCCAGGTCGAGGAGGAGGAGGAGGCGAAGATAATCGCGCTCGCCGTCAGCCGGCAGTGGCAGCGAGCCAGGGAGTCAGGACGTGGAGGAGGAGGAGGAAGACGGGAGGTGATGGCGGAGCCAAGCGTCATCAGCTACAGCTCTGGGATCAGCGCACGCGCGAGAGGCGAGCAGTGGCAGCGGGCTCTCTCACTGCCCAGCGGGATGTGGGAGGCGAAGGTGGAGCCAAGTGACATCAGCTATAGCTTTGGGATCAGCACCTGCGCGAAAGACGAGCAGTGGCAGCGGGCTCTACCACTGCTCAGCGGGATGTGGGAAGTGAGGTTGGAGCCGACTGGCATCAGATACTGCCCTGGGATCAGCGCGCATGCGAATGGCGAGCAGTGGCAGCAGGCTCCCCCGCTGCTCAGCGAGATGTGGGACGCGAAGGTGGAGCCAAGCGTCATCAGCTACAGCTCTGGGATCAGCGCGTGCGCGAAAGGCGAGCAGTGGCAGCGGGCTCTATCGCTGCTCAGCGAGATGTGGGAAGTGAGTTTGGAGACAGATGCCATCAGCTACAACTCTGGGATCAGCCCTGGGATCAGCGCGTGTACGAACGGCGAGCAGTGGCAGCGGGCTCAATCGCTGCTCTGCCAGATTTGGGAGGCGAAAGTGGAGCCAAGCGTCATCAGCTACAGCTCTGGGATCAGCGCGTGCACGAAAGGCGAGCAGTGGCAGCGGGCTCTACCGCTGATCTGCAAGATTTGGGAAGTGAGTCTGGAGCCAGATGCCATCAGCTACAACTCCGGGATCAGCGCGTGCGCGAACGGCGAGCAGTGGCGGCAGGCTCTCCCACTGCTCAGCGAGATGTGGGAGGCGAAGGTGGAGCCAGATGCCATCAGCTACAGTTCTGGGATCAGCGCATGCGCGAGAGGCGAGCAGTGGCAGCGGGCTCTCTCACTGCCCAGCGAGATGGGGGAGGCGAAGGTGGAGCCAGATGCCATCAGCTATAGCTCTGGGATCAGCGCGTGCGCGAAGGACGAGCAGCGGCAGCGGGCTCTATCACTGCTCAGCGGGATGCGGGAAGTGAGATCGGAGCCGAATGTCATCAGCTACAGCTCTGGGATCAGCGCGTGCGCGAAAGGCGAGCAGTGGCAGCGGGCTCTATCGCTGTTCCGCGAGATGTGGGAAGTGAGGTCGGAGCCAGATGCCATCAGCTACAACTCTGGGATCAGCCCTGGGATCAGAGCGTGTACGAACGGCGAGCAGTGGCAGCAGGCTCTCCCGCTGCTCAGCGATATGCGGGAGGCGAAGGTGGAGCCAAGTGTCATCAGCTACAGCTCTGGGATCAGCGCATGCACGAAAGGCGAGCAGTGGCAGCGGGCTCTATCGCTGCTCTTCGAAATTGGGGAAGTGAGGTTGGAGCCACATGCCATCAGCTACAACTCTGGGATCAGCGCGTGCGCGAACGGCGAGCAGTGGCAGCAGGCTCCCCCGCTGCTCAGCGAGATGTGGGAGCCGAAGGTGGA